GAGGGGGTTGGCTGAGGTAGCCTTGGGGGCTGGGGCGAAGAGCAAGAGGACGGGAGGGCGGCAGGCTGACGCAGAGAGTCGCCGCCAATCCTGGGGGTTCCGTGCCAGCGGCTGCGCGTTCGCGGGGGTCGCGAGACCCCGGGCTGCCAGGGGGGGCGGCAAGGGGGGCGAAGGGGCTAGCGGATCACGAGGTGGCGGGGAGGACTCCGAGGGCAGACGTCCCGACGCTACCCTGACGGAGAGACACACGCCGAGACGTCCGTGCTCGCGTGCTCCGACAACGGGAGTCCTTCGATCTCCGTAAGTACTTTTCGTTTTACCTACTTTTACTAATTTTACCTTAGCACTTCTGTATCACTCATTTTCATTGGCTTTTTCCTGCGTTTTTCCACAAACATCGCAGGCTGCTCTTTGTCACTTATTAATTGAAAGACGCCCCCCCCGGTAGCTTATCGAAGTCAACTTATAAACTTTGCCGATATATTTATACGAGCGATATATCTGTATTGTTATATACAAGTGTATCCGTAACCTGTCGCACTTATGGAAACTTCTTTCAAGTAAATTACAATGTTGTAAATTACAATGAATCGATATATGGATACTAACGAACGCGACTCCAACCGAGGAGCCAATAGTAATAATATTGTCAATGATCGTCAGAGTTTCAAAACTGTCCTTCCTTCAGTTATTTCCGACTGACATTTTCACTTTCGTCGTATCAATTGAATTAATGGCCGATACCCACGGGCAATGTTGCAGACCCGGTTAAGGTCTTCACTGGAAAGGTGGAGGGCCCCACTTCAGAATCCAAGGCGTGGGGAAACGGGCCGCAGGTCGAACCTGGGCCCGACACTGGCTCAAGCCTGAGCGGACTACTCGCAGGGCTCCCGGCCCTCGCGGCTCCCCAACGCCTCGCCAGCTCCCTCCGGCAGAAGTTCGCCAACTCTGGTGAGTTCAGGAACTGGCGATCTGACCGATGAGGTCACCCCATCACCTAACCTCCTGCCATCCCCCATTCAACGCTCCGTACCCACCACTATCCAAATGACCTATTCGCCAGGGAGGCTCCTGATTAACTAACTGTATCAGGATCGCTCGGTTGAGATCATTGCCAGTGCGTAGCTACTTGCGTCATTAAGTCAAAGAGCACAGGCACCAGAGACATTAGCGGAGCCATCAGGAGGCTGAGGCTCCCTTGAAAGGACTTTTTTGAGCGATGCCTGTCCGTCGGAGCGTGGCCTCCGTAATTAATTAATCCAGGTCCGTACAGTCGGGCCACTCCTCGAGCTCATCCTCCTGGCTCCCAAGGTAGAAATGAATGACCGAGGACCGATTCCCTTGAGATAGGTCTGCCACTGGGATGCGCGCGGCCGATTCATTCGAATGAAAGGGTGACCCCAGCTAGAACCCCTCTCTCTGTTCCTGGACTATCGAGTTCAAAAGTATCTACTCGAGTTCTCGTACCGGGACGACATGGCTAATGTTTCCTGACTAATTGAAATATTGAGTGGCCAACGCGACGGGTCCGCATCTCTTTCGTCTCCTTCGCTTCGGACTGTCGTTCTACTCGTCGGTTCGTTTCGAAGATTCTTTTTAACAATTTGTTTCGACCTCCTTCGTGTCGAATGGCGCCCTTAAATAATTCCTGAGTTATACGAAGCACTCTCTGCTACGAATACGTGCTAAGGTTCGCGTGTGAGCTTGCTCAGGGCGAAGGAAGCAATTGGTTACTCGGCACGCGAACTCCCCGTAGCTTTCCCATGGCAGTCGATCGTTAGAAAGCACTTTCTTAGGGGGAAAGGGCGGCGGCGGGGGGGGGGCGAAGAACGAATCGTAGCTATAATCAGCACTCTCTGCTTTTGTTTCCTGGGAGCTTTTCTCCTGTTATCACTGACGCAACAGCCGCAGCACAACGAGACAATTGTGCACGAGGCGTGGATCTGCCGGACTCTGCTCGTGCCAGAATCATTTTGACTCTGGTCTCCCTCGAATTAATTCACCAATTTACCTATGTAACGGACACAATGAAAACGTATACCAACCGGATACTTGGGAGAGTTCGTTACCACTACGGTAACACGATATTCACCAATTACCTACCAAGGGTGAATATACGCGCGGGAGAGTTCAAGTAGAGGCAAAGTGGAAGCCCGACAGACGAGCTCGTGTTGCGTGGATGTTTATTGAGCAAGCGAAAATATGTGTCCGGCAACGGGCAAGAGATTCAAGAAAAGAAAGGAAAAGATTAAGGCAAAGAGGGCTCCCTTTCTCCGTCCTCCTCCATGAAGAATCAGGTGCGCTTACCAGGCCGGGCCAGGAGTCCCCTTGGCCCGATACCTATTCGAGTCCCAAGTGGTATCGGTCCACGCGAGTCTCAGGGTCGATATGCCGATACGTGACCAATTCCAAATAGTCAGAGGTCACTGGAGGGATAGTCGGATTCTCGTCATCGAATTAACCGAGCTGAACCAAAGCGCTAATCGAAACGGACGCTGTTTGTTGTAGGTATCCCCCGGCCTGGCCTGATGCGCGCCACCCCAATCGCAACGACCTCTTCGCCATCCGAGACGCTCGAGGTCATCGAGCCTAGCGAGTATTAACCTGGACCTGGTGTACCTGGTGGTAGACCTTCTAGATCTCGGTGGGTCACAGTGAAGGCGCAAACATGAGCTCCATACGTATACCCATCATCAACATGGAGTTCGGGGAGCTCAAGGAGCTCGTCTGGACGAAACTCCAGGAGCCGAAGGCTCAACGGAAACTGGTCCTGGTGATCGTCTCCATTGCTCTGCTCCTTGACAACATGCTCTACATGGTGATCGTACCCATTATACCGGATTACCTAAAAATCGTCGGTGCATTCGGTGACGAGCCCGATGCTGGAAACACGACAGGAACGCCTTCGCACCACGGTCAGGATTCCGCGACGGGGATCCTCTTTGCCTCGAAGGCTATAGTCCAGCTGATGGTCAATCCCTTCTCCGGGGCGCTCATCGACAGGATCGGCTACGAGATCCCGATGATGATCGGACTGTGCATCCTCTTCCTGTCGACTGCAGTCTTCGCATGCGGCAGGAGCTACGGGGTCCTGTTCTTCGCCAGGAGCCTCCAAGGCGTGGGATCAGCCTTTGCGAACACTGCTGGTCTCGCCATGATAGCCGATCGCTTCACCGAGGACGCCGAAAGGTCCCAGGCTCTTGGAATAGCGCTGGCTTTCATCAGCTTTGGATGCCTGGTGGCTCCACCGTTCGGCGGCGCCCTCTACCAATTTGCCGGCAAGGAGATGCCGTTCCTCATCCTGGCCCTGGTCAGCCTGGCCGACGGGTTCATGCTTCTCCTGGTGATGAAGCCTTTCAAGGAACAGCTCCAGGACAGGCACAGGGAGCAAACGCCCACCATTCCAATTTGGAAGCTCCTGATCGACCCCTACATAGCCGTCTGCGCCGGTGCCCTGATGATGGCCAACGTCGCCCTGGCTTTTCTAGAACCCACCATCTCCCTCTGGATGGAGGATAAGAACATAACCCACGATAACTGGAAGATGGGCATGATATGGCTACCAGCCTTCTTCCCCCACGTATTCGGTGTGGTGATAACCGTCAAGATAGCCAAACAGTATCCACAGTATCAGTGGTTCGTAGCTGCCGTGGGATTGGCCCTCGAAGGTCTCTGCTGCTTCATGATCCCGTTCTCGAGCTCCTACGAATTCCTCATGATACCGATTTGCGGAATATGCTTCGGCATGGCCCTCATCGACACGGCCCTGCTGCCGACGCTCGGCTACCTGGTGGACGTCAGGTACGTTTCCGTCTACGGGAGCATCTACGCCATCGCGGACATCTCCTACAGCGTGGCCTACGCGGTTGGTCCGATCATAGCCGGAGGCGTCGTGGAGGCGATTGGCTTCACGGCTCTGAATGTCGGCATCGCAATTTCAAATCTGCTCTACGCCCCGGCCCTCTACTACCTCAGGCACATCTACGACTTCAAGCCTTTCCAGGACGAAGCCAACGTCCTCATGCAAGATCCACCGGACAAGGAGTACCAGACCTACGTCCTTCAGGAGCACCGACCCATATCCGGAGACGTTGGCAATCATCTCACTCAAGGTCGAATGGAAACGAACCTGGACCAGGCGCAAGATCAGCAAGATTATCAGCAGTCACGGCAGACCTATGACCAGGACTACCCCCAGAGTGCAAATACTTACGAGCAACCGGCTGCCTACGATCAATCCAGTTATTCCCAGCAGAGGAGTTACGTCCAGGAGCCACGGGATCCTCGAGAACCTCGGGAACCACGTGGCGCCTCGGTTGACGTTAATCCCTTCAGGAGAGGAACGGACGTCGAACGGCCAGCCGGGGACAGCAACCCCTTCAGGCAAGGGATGTATTAGTGTCCTGGTCCATCCGTACCGAATCCTCAGTACAATGGGCAGGTATCCAACGAACGACAGAGCCACGTGCTGCGAAGCCTATTGCGCCGCTGGCTGCTTTACAAATAAATTCGAAACGTGTCGTCAGTGGGTCAGTGTCGATGGGACGAACAATGTCAGCCATTCAGATCTTCGCTCTCGCTATTAACCAGGTACAAAGGGGTGGTCCAGTTGCGGCGTCTCCTGGTGCGAAACTCTTGGGAAACTGCGAGCCAGAAGATGCTCGCGGTGGGAGCGGAGAGACGAAGGAGGCAGGAGAGTCCAATCAAGATCCAGGAATCCTATGGATTATACATATAACTCCCAAAGAGAACCCGACGAAGACTCGGGTACATTGAGATTATTCGTAACACGTAGTATATAATATACGCATATACGTGTATAGATAAAAAAAAAGAATCCCCGAGCGTTGGCTTCCAGTCAGCAAGGGACTCTCGCTCGCGGACCTAGCACGAGCAATTCCTTTTGTTATTTCGCCATTTTGTTGACAAAATATTTATTGCTGAACCAAGATAACATATCAGGGTCTCCGGATCACGGAGCCCGAAACTTTAGAGCGTAAGATGTTACTTTTAGGTTATACGGTAGGAAATGTGAGAATCAGCGAGAGAGCGTGCGTGTGTGAGAGAGAGAGAGAGAATGCGAAGCGCAGATGTTACAAAAGACATAGGAAAGAGACGACGAATGTTCGTCTCGTTTATCGAGAAATTCCAATACTTTGCCCCGAATCGTTCGAACGTCAGACTCACACGGAGGACCCATCTCCACCCATCTCCACGTTACCTTAGGCACTCACAACATATCTGTATTTTTATGGGCATCGTTTTTCCTAAATAGAAAGACTTCGTTATGTCAGAATTATCGGGAGAACTTGACTTCGCCTGCGATTCCTATAGGGAGTCCTAGGGAACACCTAGCGTCCATCCAAACTCCTCTATATCCTGTAAATCTCTAATCTTATGTCCTCAATGACGAACGACACTGTGCACGCGTGACAAAAAGGAAAAGAGATAACGAATGTTAATGAGATAATTAAGGATCCGTTTAGAGTCTCCTGAGAAATCATATCTCTGGATAGGTTAGGCTAAGACTCGGAACTTAGGAATTCTATCGATAGGCTGGGAATATCGGGAATGTGGGAATATTGAAATAATTAATGATTATAGGATCGCGATCAATAGCTATCGATTATTGATAACTTTGAGTTTTACAGTGCCTGAATCGAACGTGTTTTTAATCTATCCCCCCTCCCCCAACCCCCTTCGCCCTCCATCCCTCCCCCCTCCTCCCAATTTCGTAGATCCTACATCGTTGACCTTTGACTCGCCTGGCGATGACACACGTGTAACGTATAAAATGATAAAGAGAGAGAGAGAGAGAGAGAGGGAGAGAGAAAAGGTGGGGGGAAACAGGGATAGGAGAAAAAAGGACGGCAGATTCGTGGATCGTCTAGATTGCTCGAATATCCTTTGAGAAACAAGGAGGAAGTTCCCTCGTCGTCGTTCCCTCTATTCGAGCTGGCCTCCACGAAATGACAAATTCCACTCGTAATTATTAACTATCGATGGATATGTTGACGTCTCAATGTAGATATTAAAATACCTATTAAAAGTGACGCTGCGTAATAGTAACCGATCAACGCGACGCACGTAAAGCTACTTTTTGAATTATTGGATTGCGGATTATATTAAATTGTATCGATCGGTAGTCGTAGGCTGTCCGTAGCTTCTCTCGTCTCTTGTAAATACGAAGATTACTTCTTGTCTAAAGGAAAGAAAAAAAAAAAAAGGAAAAAAAAAAAAGAAAAAATAGAAAAAAAAAAAGAATATTTCTTAATCCACTTAACGAGCAACCCCAGCGCATATCATGACCATTATCATCCCCGATGCCTAATCTTTCTGTGATTGTCCTTTGAAAGTTTGCAAATTGCCTACTGTATTTTGGGTGTTATATATATACATACGTATGCACGCGCATGTGTATATACGCGCGTCGTAAACCCCTCGGAATTCAAAATGACATAATCGTCACTCGATCGTTAATAAATGGAAGACTTTAATTAAGGAGATGAGGTTAGGTAGGATAATTAGGGCTTGCTTAAGATGATGCGTTTTATCGAGTGTTGTAAGAGCCAGCCAGTAGAAATAATAGTGAGTTATCATTGTTCCTTTGGAGCGTCGTTTTAATCGCAAATGAAAGTCATCGATGAAAGTATCTAGAAATCCAAGACATATCGTACCGTGCTATACGTTGCTATCTATTAAAGTCCTATATGAAATTTCGTAAGCGCTGTCTCGCGTACATAATGAAAAACAAGAAAAAAATCACACATAAACACGTACTGTATACCTATACCAGATACATTATGTACTTATACACTGTATACATTATATGGCGACTACGCTTTCCCGAGAAGCACTTTATTTGCTGGAAAGAAAAAAAGAAAAAAAGAAAATACGAAATACCTTGTACACAGGACAGAGAGACACGTACAGAGGCATGTAGCAATACACATGTATGTATGTATATTAAAAAGAAATATGAAAGTGCGTATATAATTGAAACCTATATGACATTGTAACGTTGTTGAACCGGTTATTAAAAACGTCATTGTTACCGAATAATTTTTCGTCCTGCTACTCATTGTCTTTACACCCTTGGTCATCGATATGCCGATCGATTTCAAATCGATAACGAGAGTTATCGATATCGATACGCTGTAGCGGAGGTTGGGATATCGATTTTGGTAGGTGTCGAAATCCAGGGCTCTCTCGTCATTTAATCCCTAATCCTTGATGACGTAACCGAGCAGTTTGCAGAAGGCAGCGTCAAGTATCAGTGAAAACTCCCTAAGTGCTTAAGACTCTTAGGGAGTGGACTTAGTCGCTGTCATGAATATGCGATTCGCTCGGGGATCGCTGGGCTGGCTTCTCATTCTACATGTATTATCTGTAAATGCGTACAACGGGATCAGAATTTATGATCGTAATGGAAATATTTACCAATTAATTTTTCTTCACGCGTCCGATTTTTCTATTCGTCCAATTATTTCACGAGGATTCTCCCGGTTGATCCTGAATGAAGAAATATGCCTGGGCGTCTGGACGCTTCGGAGCTTCCGAGTAGCAGCGTCCGGACGAGCCCCCGAGGGTCATGGCTATAAAAGGTGCAGCAGGGCAAAGGGTTCTCGATAAGTCCCAGGTATTGTGAGAGGCCACGTGGCGGCTGGAATTCGTTTCTAATGAAAAACGCAGGAGTCCCCAATTCCAAAGGTAGTCCTGGCTCCCCGGAAGCACCCTTAGCCCGTAGTCACCCTTCGCCGCCCTCTCCAACTATTTCCCTCTATAGAGCCAGTGTCAACCTAACCCCATCAAAGTGTAATAATATTTATATTAGGGCGCGGTCCGGGAGGGTGGAACGAAGGGATCTCTTCTATGGGGAAAGAAATACTTGGGGGGTTTGCTTGCTCGTGCGTACCCTACGGCTCCATGAAAACGCCCTAATACGATTTACATAGGTGGAAAGATAACTGCACGACATAAGATACACGTCTCCTGTATTTATTTCCAACGAAGATAACCGATCTCTCCGTTATCGGAATCCAGATTATCTGCTACTGACGTATCGCGAAATCTTTTTCCAATCAGCTAATTTTCTTGTCGCTGCTCGCGTTTCGCGTCTTTCACCAAGGTGTCGGCCTATGGATCATTCTCCTAGCGCAAAAGTCTCGCCTTGGCGCTTCCACAGGGTGCCTGTACTGTATCGCGCTTTTCTCGCCTCTCGAAGTTCGAAGCTCCCGCGAGACTGCTATTTTTCGAAAGCTTCATTCAATTTGTATCTTGCTTCCTTTACCTGAATTCTTAACGAAATTAATTTTGACCTTACTCGGATTTTTCGTTTTTAAATTTCTTGAATTTCTGCATTTTCCGGAATAACAGGACACCTGTTATTGTTTCTTATTTCGAGCAATTCTCTTGCGGGTTTCGTTTGTCTCGTAAACGCAACGGTGCGTCCGGCGCCCATATGGCATTTGTCTTTGCCCGAATTAATTTGCTTTTGTTTCCGAAGGGGCTGGAGGGGGGGAGGGGGAATTTCAGAGGGTCGTCTCCTGTATGTGTGAATTCGGTTGAAACAGGAAATTACGTCCCAATATATAGAACAATTACGGATTTCCAATGAACGATTTCAGATTCACCGGACACGCGTGAAACACGTGGAGGAAGGTGATTGCGTCAACGTCATGAAATACGTAGGTGGACAGGCTTTTCGTGCATACAAGACATCCCCTTTCGCGTCTCTCGTCAACTTTCCATAGATACGTTGTGGCCAGCGCGGAGCTCGTAATCCGTAACCCGATTATTCGCCTCATCGCTCCACAGGAGTGACTACGGGTGAGTGGGGTGTTACTAGAGCCAACCAATGTTTCTTCCTTCACCATCCAAACACCCCAATAATATTCTCCCGGCATCCAGTCGTCTTTAAAATTTTTCGTGTACCTAAAGAATTATTTCGATCTTTCGAAGCCTCGACTCACAAGCGCGAACAGGGCTTTGTATCGTTTCTCCAATTGGGAAGCTTCTTCGTATCCGTCCGAGTCTGGTCGAGTCCTCTGGGTATGGTGTCCGGAGGAATCCCTTTGGCTCTATTAATCACACTCGGCCAATCTCGAAGGGCCAATCCCTAATCGTGTTTTCCCTGGGCACGTCGCACCGATACCATCGGACGTCGAGCGTCGATCCGATTTGACGGCTCGTTTGCTCCAGGATGTGGAGCGACGTGCGATAAACGCATCCCCAGGGAGTTCACCTGCGATTCCTTATTTATTTCTCTTTGGAATGGAATACGCCAGCGTGTCTAAGGCTATTTCGTTTCGATGGCCCAGTAGCGAGAAATGGAGCATCGAAGGGAGGTGCCTTGGAGATCCGCTAATTACAAAGGGCAACAGGGTTCGCGAGGGAGAACTCGCCGCAATCCTGGGCCAACTCGTGACTAGCCCCTGACTAGCCCCTGGCGAACAACCTACTAGCCAGGGATGGTGGTTCCAGGGCCAGAGGCGAATCGCGTGAATAAATAACTATTTTGGGGTGCGTCTCCATGCCAACCAGACCCCAGTACACCAACTGACTGACTAACTTGTCAGTGCAACGAGCACGAACCCGTGGCAAACACGAGATTCTACCTTTTTCTTTTCCTTTCGAAATTCTTCTCACGCAGACTTTGAGTTTCGTTTTTCATTTTTTTTTTCAGTCTACTTTCTTTTTTTTCGCGATCACGAACGTTTCGTTGGTGTACTCATTTTTCGTCGAATCTTTGCACCTCGGTATGTTGCTCTTTGTCTTACGCATGTGAATGGCCATACGTCTGTCTCTCTCGCGCTCGCGGCCGGTATAGGAAACTCGAAAAATCCAAGACCCGCACCTTCCTCCTTTGATTCGGCGCATCGCGCTATGTATATAGAAGGTCTGGAATTTGAGGAAGTATGAAAAATGACTGGCTATTGGAATTATGAGTTCGGGGGGTGAAAGTGGGCATGTTTCTCTTCACCCCTGGCCATTCCAGACAGTGATCCTGTCCAGGATATCCTGGCAGGGCGATAATGTCCCGTATCTATCGCGTGATTTATCAAACGAGAGCTTATCGGTAGAGCGCGTAGGGTGGCCCAGGGTGGCCCAGGGTGGCCCAGGGTACAGTGACAAATTGTCAGCAAGGGGGTGAAACCCAGTGTACACCTCGAGACTGCTACATCTGTTCCGCGCTAATACCTTGTATAACTCTTATGGGGTGGCTGAGCTGTGTCTCGGTGGCTGCGAATGTCCTGACGTCCGAGGGAAGATATATCGCGGAGGGTGCTCTTCCTCCAGCCGGATCATATTTTCCTCTATCTCATCTCGTCACGCCTTTACAGATAAATAATGCAATCCCCGAATAAAAGGAATCTCACTCATTTTACGTATCCAACTAAAGACCGCTCTTCCCGAAGTTATGACGCAATCGCGAAAAGAAGATAAAAACAAATGAAAGATGCTCTCCAGAGGGATAAAGTATTCGGATTGTCTGAAGAAAAATATAAGGCTACGGCGGACAACCCTTGTATTTCGCAGCTTCTCTGCGATTCCTACGTTCCTGCGATCTCGGTTTCTAGGGTTCTCGTGTATTCTAGCGGAAGGGTGGAAATGTGCAAAGAGAGACATCGCGCGTCAGTCTGGACCCGGTGGGAAGACGGTTGACGGTGGACG